AAAATAGAAATATTAGTTGTAAATAACAAAAATATTATGAAACAACGATAAAGAAATATTAAATATTTTAATTTTGCAAAAAATTTAGCAAAATATGCTCCAAATGCACATGTTTTACTGGAAGTAAACTTACACTTACAGTTTCTGGCGTATACGTAAAAAACATTACCAATTAAACTAAGTGGAAAATAGCAGAACAAGCATTGGTGAAAAATAAAAAACCAAGCAAGACAATTTATGTCTAACGGAAGTAAAAGCAAACATATGAAACAAGCGGAAGTCAGCAGCCATTGTTAAGCAAAACAAAAAGCAACAAATTAGTCGAAATAAAATTCTTTTTATTTGTATTTATAAATAAAGTTGTTTCTCAAAAAGTGAGATGAGAATAATTAAAAATTATTTAAATTTAATTTATTTAATTAATAGAAAACACCATAAATAAAAGTTCTTTTAAAAAAGTACACACACTGTATATTATAATCGCTGTAATGTTAAGTCTACTGTTAATAATTAAACTGTTATGTTAATAACATTAATGTTCGACTAAAAGTTCTTTGACTTTATTGTCTTTGTTAAAACTACAAAAAAGTGAAAAATTGTTAAGAATTTATTTGAAATGACAGCAGATATTGTCATTTTTCTATTAAAAAAAATGTATTTAACCAAGCTTAAGGCGGCTTTGTACAACTATTACGTCGTTTCTCATTTAAAATATTTAATTTTAAGCTTCATGCTTATCCGTTTAGGATCACCTAGGCCAACATTGCCTGCCACCATTGTGAGTTGCATGCCATTTATATATATATAAATATATATATATATTTCCTTTGGCGAATATGTGCAGCCAAGTGTAAACTCAGTGCAGCCCACAAGTTTGACATTTTCTTTGTATTAAAAAGACGCATGTGACTGAACTTAAGCTTTTGTATTAAAATTTCGTACGAATTACAAACCGTTTACTGAACTCCGTCCAGCTAAAGACGATGAACCACAAAAAACTTAACAGTCTGCCTTGCACTTAAATACGAGATTAAGGCTTTACTTTCTGAATACTTTGACTTACGAAAAAAATCTAATTCTAAGTATTAAAAGAATGCATCTATTCACTAAAAAAAAAATAATAATTTTAAAAATGTGTTTAGTCAGTAAATTGTAGGCGGTAAGCTTGAACTCATTTTGTTCTGAGTTATGAAAAACATAAAAATTTTCAAATGGTTGAACATAATAGTGATAAAATGCTTTGTAGACTATCACAGTAATTTCAATGTATAGTTTTAAATTTTAAGTTATATTAAAAAATTTAAACATATTTTATAAAATTTTACTAACAATTTTAGGATATTTTGTATGTGATTGATAGTTGATCTACTGATATAAAATTTAATAGCAATGAATACGCTGAAGATCTTTTAGACATCATAAGATAAAGGCGTGAAAACTTCTTTATTGTTTGACATATAAAAATATGTATGCACTTTTACTTATCATATATAAAAAATACATGAGGTTGTATATCATCGCCTTCTGTAAATATATTTAATATTCTTCACTCTGTGTATATACACACTACACACAGCTTATTTTATTAAAGCTAACGTATTATTGATTTACATTTTAATCCTATATGAAAAATTTATAAAGAGGTTTTTCGAACAGTAGTGAACTACAACAACAAAAATTTATTTTATATTATTTTAATTAATTGAATTTTTGGCTGATCATACAGCTGTTTCGAGTATTGGCAAATACCTATCATTAGTGGTCTTGGAAATAATTCTTGTATTCAATTATTCGTAAATAATTTTTTTAAACTGCAAGTACCAGGAATCTAACTGGTATCCTGCCAAATTTGAAGCTCAGAGTTAGCGCTGTTTAACCAACAGACCCAAAGCCGTACTTAACTTTTATGTTACACATTTTTCTTGAGTTTTGAACAAATTTACTTGCTGTATTTATATTAGAACGAAATCATAAACCAGCTGTAGAATAATTGAATTAATGAAATTTATTTTTATTTTTAATTGTTAAATTGCAATACTATTCTGTTTGTAGAGGCATTATTTGTATTATGATTTATGTATTCTTTCTTATGTATAGAACATAATCTAGGAAAAATTTATTAAAGCAGTAAGGTACAATAAATAATTCATTTTGTAATAAATTTATTCTAATAATTTAACCTTCTAACCAGAAAAGCAGTCTGATTTTATTAAATATGCGAAATATTTAATATTCTCACTACTTAATCACGTTTCAAAAATAACTTTATCCTTTAATATATATACTACACTAACTTGCACTCTCTACAGTTATTCATTTCATTTTTAATATATTTTCCAACCAAAAAAGTAGTGAAAAACATATTAATTTCAACTTTTTTAATTATAAAAAACCATTAATAAACCAAACTAATTGAAATGTAATTTTTTTTCCAACTCTTCGCCTCTGCATTTTTATGGCAGCATTAAGCATGGTTTGCCATCGTCCAGTCCGCCTGCTTACTCCTTCTATGACTAGCAATCAACCGACAGCAGCCACCATAATCATTGCCTTTATGGAAAGTACATTTAAAAGAATTTTCCCATAACAGCACTCAATACTAATAAAGCTGACTGGCTAACTGACTGACTGACTAACTGACTGACTGTGATTGGCTTATGTAGCACTAACTCCGACACCATTACAAAAGCAACTATAATTATACAAATGCCAATGCCATATTGAAAATGAAAATCTTGAGATAAAATGGCAGTTTGGAATATTTTTTTCGACTTGCATACGAGTAAATGCCATTAAAAAGATCGTACGTTTCATACAAAATGCAAAACGTACGGTTTTCTGGACTCAAATGTGTTTTGTGTTACCTGTAACCTGATGAAGATAGCGTTCAATCGAACATAGCAACATTTATATCTTGTATATCTGCTCGACACTAAAATGTGCTTCATTTGTTGTTTAATTGATTTCGATTCAAAAACATTTTTTTAACACCCACATTCACTTCCACATCCTTACCAAACCAACCAACCAACCATCCAACCAGCCAACCATTCTGATAAAACTACACGTGCTTACAGCAACTTTTCTACTTCAACAATTTAATAGCATATTCTGCACAATGACACTGATTCAATGCCATTTCCTTTTGCTGTTACAAATTTGTGCTTCCTGTCTATGTTTCAATCGTTTCCCATTTTTATTTCCTTCCCAATACCAACTGAATATATATATTAAATTGTTTAAATTTTGATTTTTTTTGCTCGCTACTTACTTAGTGTAAGTTTATTTTATCGCCTTTGTTAGTTAGCAGCTTCATTTCATTTGCACATATGCAAAAACATTTATATTTATGTATGTATTTATTTGAGTGACTAAGTGCCAATATCCTTTCAGTAATTTAAACATATTTAGAAAATATTTTACTGAAGTTTTGTGCTCCTTGTTTGCAATCAATTGCCATTTGTAGGGTTTGCTCACTCAATGACCTACAGTTGTCGCCTACAACAATATGCAATTTCAATTTATTCTACTTCATATCCTTTAATTTGCTTTGTATGTATATTCTTTCTGCTCTCTTAATTTCCGTCCATTAAAAGTTGAAAGTTTTCACTAGTCCTTATGTTTAACATTTGTGTTCATAGTTATGTTAACTTGAAATTCCTTTATTAGTATATGTTCAATTGCTTTAGTTTCTATAGTATGGAATCCTTTAACCTTATTGGGCATTGCTTTTTTTATATTTTAAGTTATTTTAGCATTTGAAAATCATGATTTTTTTTTGGTTCTTACTATTCAATAGAGAATTTTATTTTCTTTAACTCTTTTTATTAAGTACTTTTTGGTGATATTTTTCGAACTGCACAAAATAAGGAAAAATTAATTGACTTATTATTATTGATTTATTATTGAGGATATGTAAATTTACTTATAATTTTAAATGTAATCATTAAACTGTTTCACATTAATTATGTTTATGCAAGGATATTGTAAATGAACAAACTCTTCTGTGAATCCCTAGAAATATGCTACATTTTTTCTTCTACACACGCCTGTTTAGTATTGTTGACCTTTAGGTTGTGATAATTTTCAAGTAGTTAAGAATCATTCATAAATTTACTTTTGCGTATATTTAAAAAAATTTTTCAGATTAAGTATTGTTGCTTCGTTCGTACTTGTGTAAAACACAAATATAGTATCTAAAACGAAATGAAAGATTCGGCACTGCACTGAAATGTATGTTACGCCTTAAGGAAACTTATTTTTTTGGCATTTTCTGCTCTTTGACTTGTTTTAGAAAAATCCGTAAAAAATTCTTTTGACTATTTCACTAAGCTTTAAGCTTTCAACAACAGAAAAAGCAGTTAAAATAAAAATATTAAAAAAATAAATAAAACATAGATACTATAATATATAAACACATATGTATATATAACACTTTTAACTCTGTTTGCTTATCTTTATCCAAAGACGCTGCACGAAGTATGTTTTGTGTGATTTCAAATTTTCTAAAGCTTCCATGTTGCTTTCTTTTGTATGTCCTTTAATATTTTACTTTACTTTATGGAAACCTTATAATAACATAAGAAAACGTTTGAGTTTTATATTTTGTGCTTTTATTTATTATACTTTTATTTATTTATATTTTTTTTACTTAATTCGTCTGTTGAGCTGCTGTTTGTGGGTCCTTTAGTTCACAATCCTTTAGCTATAAGTCTTAAGTCAATATGCTATGGTATTTGATATATGCCGGATATACACTGCAATATATACGCTGACTGACTTAAACAGACTTTGATTTGGCAGTTGTGTACACAAACCTTTTTTACAGCTTTAAATGTTTTTATTTAGAATTATTATATATTTGTAGTTGTATAGAAATCTAAAGTATAAGTAACATACACAAAGTGTATGTTTTTTTTTTCTTTAAATAAAATATTTCTCTTGCCTGTATTTGCTTTTGATATCTAAATTTAATTTTTTTTTTACTTTTCTCTTTGCAGTGCCAAGTAAACCTCAAAATCTTACCGTATTGGAAGTAACTGGCAATAGCATAACGATGTCTTGGCATCCACCTAAAAATCAAAATGGTGCAATTGCTGGTTATCATGTGTTCCACATACATGATAATCAAACGGGCGTGGAAATTGTGAAAAATACCAGAAATGCTATTGAATCTACTATACATTTTGTGTTGTCGAATTTAAGTAAGTATTTTTCAGTAATTTTTGTTATTATTTAGGATTTTCATAAAATTTATTACATTAAAATAATCTGTTAAATAAAATATTTCAATACAGGTGATGATATGTATAGATACTATTAAAAATGAAATACAAATCTACAAAAGTATAAACTTTTTAAGAGATATTTTTTTAATATCATTAGTATGGTTTATAATATAACTGCATATTCATTCAATTGATATAACAGGTGTAGTTTGAATCTCGAGTACAGTAAGCACTTTAATCATTATAAATAAATCAAAATCGAGGATACAAACTGTATTTAATTAATTAAAGCTATATATAATATAATTAATTAAAAATATAAAAGCTCAATTGCATTCATATCGAATACTGTAATGTTTTTAGAATGAATTTATATCAATGAATTTATATTTAGTATTTAATGAATATTACCTTAATTCTTGTTAGTCTTTTTTTAATTCTTTAAATTTGATTGAATCGAATTGCCTAATGCTCAATTATTCAATTTATTATTTAACTTTCACTCTTACATTTGATGACATCATATTATTAAAGTATTTATGAGTTTAATCTCAGCTCTCTGTTTTACGTTCCTACCCTTTTTATATTAAATGTAATTTTTCACAACCACTTATCTCATTAAAATTTGTTTTAACACTAGTTGAACTAGGAATCAATTTCTTAGTCAATTAAAAAAGTGTTCCAAGTATATAGAATCCATCGATAAAATCCCTAAAACCATGCTTCACATTTTTTTTGCTTCAGAACAGCAGGACTAAATTAATTGCACAAAATTTGAAAAAGAATTTACAAATAAATTGCGATAAAAAACTACTCTCTCGCTTGTTTTATTCTTATATTATACTTGAGAAGGCTTTCTTCGCAAGTTTTAACATAAAAAATTGAGGATCCTGAGCGAAGAAGGATGTTTTATGCAACGTTGCAACCCACATGTTGCAATTAATTTTACGTAAAAGACGTAGTAATCTTACTTTTTATATATATTTTAAACCGCAACCCGCGCGCTTCAGTTTAATTACAATCAAAAACACAGCGAAAGAAGGAATGCCTTCGCACAGTACGAGATCCATCAGTTTCCATCGGTTATGAAGTACAAAAAAAAGTTGCTACACTGCATCTGGTGAAAAGTAAACCATATTGTTGGCTTGTTGGTTTTTTGCCAACATCAACTTGACTGCTGTGCGCACATTGTTTAATTAATTACCAAGTCATGTTGATGTATTTTGCATTTTCAACGCATTTTAATAAAAAATTTTTAATTTCAGTATTTTCTTTAATTATTTTTGTTGTTGTGCAAAACTTTACATTCAAGCAACGAGGCATTCTTCTTCATTGGCATTAACTTCACATACCATTTCATGCCTTCCGTGTAGTAACAAATTTCATTTTAAATAAAATGTATTTTAAAAACAAAAACTTTTTATTAATAAACTTACCACATATGTCAACTGACTCTCGCTACGCATTATATATTTTTAATCTTTAATTAAACATTAATTAAAATGTACGCATTTGTTGCTTTTGAATTTAAAAAGTTTTACAATTACGACTACTCCCTTCACTATACGAGTGACTGAGCCAGTGAGCGAGTATCTTTTATTAAACTTAAATTTAAACAAATACTTAAAAATGTTGAAAACAATAAAATATGCTATATATAACATTCGCACTTTGCTTACTATTCGTTGTTGTGGTAAACATTTGTCGAAAGTCCTCAACAAACTACTGAGTGTATGAAAAAATGTGTATGAAATTGTCGCTCATACGCCATGTAAGCTGCCATTAATAAATGTTAACAATACATAAATTGTGATATACTTGTAGCATTAATACTGTAAGCTGTGTGCTCTTTTAAAATCGCTTTGGTTTTTATGCGATTAAAGCATATCGAATCTGCTTAATACTTTTTAAAAATATTAAATGTTGACTAAGGATACCATATGTGGTGGTTGGCATAAAAGCAGATTTCAGTATAAAAGTATTACATAGACAACAGTATAAATAGCTTGAAGGCTATTTACCGTAAAGTGGTTTGGTAATTTTTAAGCCACTTACACTTACTTTGGTTTTTTTTATGGAAAATTATTAAAAAGCCACTTCAATTGAACACTGCGATTTTAAATAAAGCAAAAATGCCTGCAAGTTTAAACTTATTTGAAGCTTAAATTTCAACTGAAAAGCTGCAAAAATTGTGTTGGTGAATATATTGTTCTCTCTTAACTTAAATGAAGAATACTATATAAAAAAAATCTGCTCACTTGTCTTCCACATATGGCTCTACTTATTTGTTGCAAAGCAAAATATATTTTATTTCTTATACAAAACTAATTCTGCATTATAGTTAAATTTTATTTACTGCATATGATAGATATTGTTAAGAATGTCTTTGGAGTAAATGCAATCCGACACAGTGCAAAGTTTTTTAATTGTTTTTTAATATTTTAATATATATTTGGTTGTAGTTATCTCTTTGAGTGAAAAGCGAGGACCATCTAACGCTTCTACTGTTATTTGAGGAACAACATACGGTTGTAGTATGAAAAGCCACATCAGTGAAAGTAATAAATACAGTCATTCTACCCGCATATCATTGAGTTTTCACCATAGCCACCATGATATTCTCATTTAAGAGGCCAACCCCAATTAGTCAAAAGACATTGCTGTAGGCACTGACAGCCATGGTTCCATACGCAAATTCCCGATAAAACGCCTTAAGTGAAACTTCCTTAGACCCTCCCTTCATACTCCAAACAGTAACAGGGGATACCTACTGGATTTTAATTGCTTCTTATGATGGGCATGCTTTACTGCAGGAATATTCCCGAGAAGGAAATGCCTCCATTAGCTTAATCCATTTCTTGACTAATTAAATTGATTTAACTTAATATATAATACGTCCCTGTAGTTAAATTAAGTTGGGAAATTATGATGCTTCAAATCCAATTTTTTTAGAAAATATTGGATCATTTGATCCAAATGATCCAAAATTTTTTTAGTTCGCTTGTGGTATATCAATACTTTATATTATGAGCTTTTCATTATAATAACCTCTCCTTCTAACGTGCACCTATTTCAAAGAAACGCCCTATTAAGCAAACAACCGTTGCACGTGTTTTTAGGAAGAATTAAGTAAATTGTTCGAGCCATTCTTAAAATTTTATGAGTTTTTGAGCTGAATGTTGTTTGCGTACACCTTTTTTTCACATCCTCTAACTTTTTATATTAAATATAGAAAACTGTTTTTCTCACATTCATTTTACTTTGTTAAGAAATAATGTGTATATATATGCCTCTTAACTATTACATCACAGTATACTTTTTACTTTAAGTATCATACTCTACAATAGCTTTGATTAAGCAATGTTTTAGTTTTTTCACAACAATCTACTATTTTGTTAAATTATATGAATAATTTATGAATGGGAAGTAGTATGCTTACATAGTAGCACCACACTTTTATGCTGCAGTAAAAATAAAATTATAGTTGTGGAAAAAATTCAAAATTAATTATAAATTTAATCACTGCGCGGTGGCTAAGCCATAATATTAAAAGCACTTCAGCATTATTATTAAATGAATTCAGTTTAATATCTTATTAAATATTCCATTAATCCAGCTAGTAGACAATTGCAGTCACACGCTCATTATATGCTCAATATATGCTTACAAGGACACATGACCATTAACCGTAGGAGTAACGTTTATGTCATTGGTGTTAAATTTGATTAATTAAAAGGTATTTACGATAATACATTAAAACTCATTAAAATAAATGTCGACAATATGAAAGCCACTGCGAACAATACCTGCGCCAAATCTTATAAATGTTTTATTTAATCTGAAGCTGACCATTTATTTATTGCGATAATTTCTTCAATTTTAATTTAATTTAAATAAAAATAAACAAAAAAAAAATTTTTTTTTGTGTACTTACAGAACCATATACCGATTATCGTGTCACTGTGAAGGCGTTCACTACCAAAAATGAAGGTGAACCATCCGAATTTGTGCAACGTACTGATGTGGGCGGACCAAGCGCGCCAATTCTTGTCAATTTAACGTGTCACTCAATGGATGCGCTCACCTTACGTTGGAAGCGCCCTTTTGAGTTCTATAATACCATAGATTTTTATATAATTAAAGCACGCTTAATGGGTCTGGATACGCATCGCGATATAAGAATAAATGCTTCAGCAAAGGAATTGGAAACAGCGGTAAGCGAATAAATAATAATGTTTGCATACTAGCACATTTTCAGAACATCCAAAACAAAGCAAAAATAAACAAAAAAAATTGAGCAAACAATTTTGCAATAAATGTTATCAAATATGCTGTTAAATATCCTTTGGCAAGTGGCAATAAAGTGTCAAGTTTCGTTTATATCAGCAAAATTTGGCTTTATTTTTAAAACTGCCAAACGTGTTGTGTTAGTTTTGATTTCTCGTGTTTTTCGTTTTATCATTCCCTAGTTTTATTTTAATTTTTTATGCCATATTGGATGGTGGCAACAACAACGAAAGGGCGTGGTGAAAATATTTGGCATAATCCGTCAATAAAAATCGATATCCTTGAATGTTTTTTTTCGCACATACCTGCACTCTAGAAAAGTTAAAACAAACCAAAAAGTTGCCATTTTTTGCAGTTTATCTTTGACAGTAGAATGACGCGATAAACTGCTGCATACTTTTTGGCGTTGATTTCGTTATATTTATGGCTTTGAAATTCCTAACACCAACATTGCGAAAAAACGTTTATCGCAGAGATAAAAGATGTAACAATTCTGCATACCAGAGAACAATGAAATATAAATATATATATATAGAAAACTACATTTTTTTTATTATCTCTGCAATTTCCAATGTTTGGCTTGTTAGCAGTACTAAAAAATAAAGTTTGTTATATGAACAAATATTTTAGGTTGTGTTGAAGGGATTGCCACAGCAAAACAATGCAATTTTCGTTTAAAAAAAATGGTTAAATTTATAAATAAAATTATTAAATGTTTACACACATATACACTTGAAAAACTTTATCTAGAATGCATAACTTGATACATACCGTCAGTTGCAAATGTCGCCCGCATATGAGTACATATTCACTTTGGAACAGGACAGAACTGTCTATGCCCAAAAAAACCAGTGCACTCTGTTTTTGTTTGGATTTTGGTATAAGATTTTTTACTAGTGTACACTTCGACACTACAATTTTAAAATTTCAACCAAACACTAAACATCTCAAAAATATTTATACATATACCATTTTTTTATAAAAACATTTTCCATATTATATATGCAAAAACAGAAATATTTTTATGAAACTATTTGCAAATTAATTTTTTTTTATGTATTTTAATTTGTTCTAACAAAATATTTTGTCTGTCGGTTTTTTTTTAATAATAAATGTTTATATTTAAATAAAAATATTTACTGGGAAAATGTTTTTTCATTAAGTTAACGTGTTTACTTATTTTATATGAATTTTCTGATTAATATTTTTAAAATTTGTATGTCAATAAAACGTCGATTTAATTAAAATTCACCTTTTTTATAGGCTTAAATTATTTTTTATAATAATAAAACATTTGATAGGAAAACCTTTTAACTCTTTAATGTCATAAAATTGTTTTACATAAAATTACTGCATTTTTTTAAATCCTATTAAATAGCAAAGCTATAGGTGCGAACTTCTAATGTCCAAATCTTTCATTTTCTTTACAACTTGTGAAAAATTGTATTCTTCTCTTTCAGTTGGTGGAAAAAGGATTTTTCTTATACAACAACGCTTAAAATCACAATAATAATTTATTGAACTATAAATGGTTTTTGTTGAATTTAATTTTTCACTTGAAACAGCATTCGTTGAAAATACACATGTGGTATAAAATTACACAAATTAATTATATAAAATTAAGCTTTTGATACACAATTTTTAATTTTTTGTATTAAAAATACTACCGTGATATGATGTGTAGAAGATCTCAATAATTGTCGTATAAATGCAAAGTTTCTCAAAGAAATTTAGTCGAACATTAATAGCATGTATAAGTGTAAACTGCTTTGCTTTACTTAAATGTATCAGTCGTTTCTTAACTGAGCATGTTTCTGTTAACTTCTAGCTTTAAACTATGGGACTAACAGAACCAAGCATCTGCATATTCTATGAAATACAGAATGAAACTTCCAGCTATCTCATCTGCATACATCTTATGGTTGTCGAGAAGTATGTCTAGTACTTTCATTTAGCTATCAATAAATAAAGTCTGCAGTCTTGAACGAGAGAAAAGTATTGCATTTTTCTTATTCTACTTATTTTCTTCTTAGTCTTACTGTAATAAGTATCATGCCTAACAACAATTCCATTCACAAATTATATGGTATAAGTAATTGAAATATTTATATACAAAAGATATATTACTTCTTTCGTTATTGATACTCAACTCTCTTTTCATCGTTTGGTGATATAACATCTTTTCATATTTCGTCTTTTTAAATTTTTCATTTTTCTTTAAAACCAATACAATCATAACCTCTTTTAGGATCAAGGATAGGATCCCTGTTAACCCTGTCCTAACTTCGTAAACACTGTTATGCTCACAGTTGGTTCTCAGTACAGCGTCGTCTGTTTATCAAAATATAGAGAGCTTTTCATTTTGCATTATCTGTTCGATAATAGTATTAATGGTACTAGAGTTAAAAAATCACTTTTATGAATTCCACTCAAATCTACATTTGGGCGATATATTTGTATGTAGCAAATCTTAACCGGCACTGAGTTTTCAATAAGTTTATTGGGCATAACTATTAACTAACTTTTTCCGAGTTAGTTAATAGTGTTTCTTCATGGATAACACAATAGGGCTTATATGTCACAGTGTGGCATTGTCTTCTCTAGAAATAATAATAAAATAAATTACTTTGCTTACTTTATAGATGTAATAGGAATTCTATTTAATTTATTTTTGTTCTAAAATGTGTATTTTTATAACATAGTAACGAATTAAAAAGTCTTATATGATAAACAAACTTTTTATTTGGGATATTTACCTTATAAGAAAAAAGTTTGCAGCGTATTTTACGCATCTAATATTATATTCAAATAAATTTATTATGAAAGTAATTTCAGAATAGTAGATTGATGATGTTTAGTATTGGCAATATACTGTTATCGATGAATAAGATTAGACATTGTAAAAGTGCTTGAATAATGCATAATATTGCTGTATTGCAATGAAATCAAAGGAATTGGTAGCACTTTCTTTGCAACATATTATATATATCCACTGATAAGCAACACATTAGCAATTTGAATTAGATTTAATAATTATTATTTTAAATATTTAGATCTATAAGTTTTGAAGCTGATATTGTTCTCATCTTTAAAAAGTAAAATTCACATTGGATTAATGCGCATTAATCTTTGCTTTATTTAAAATCTCTAAGATATTTCTTGTTCGTTTTCCTATACAATTATTAGCTCTAATATGGTTGTGTCTTATATATATTGCAAGAGCAAGTAATGTATTTCACTTTTATTTATAATTTGTCATATAAGCAAATGTTTACCTAACTTTTTATCAAAAATATTTGCCAAAAGTGCATTCGCGTTTTATATCAAAAATCCAATTTGGGTTTTGTTACATTTTTCTAAACAAATTTTTACTACATCCTCAAAAGTTTTTATGTTGAAATATAAAAATATTTTTTTTTTTGTTGATATATTTAATATCTTATGAGTTGAGGTGGGAGTATATTGCCTGTAAACACACATGCAGACAGACATGAAAGGAAACTCTTTAAGAAATGCATAAATAGCAAAACTAGGACTCAAATCAACTGCCAACAGAAATTTGTTTGCTCATATATTTTTGCGTTATGCTTGCACTTGCCAGTTTCTTTATTAAATATATAAACTCTATAAAAACTGTATATAATATGAAAATTTTTTCCATTTGCTTACAGATGATACTGCAGAATCTAACAACAAACTCTATATACGAAGTCAAAGTTGCAGCTACAACTATCAGCGTGATAAATCCAAAAAAAATGGTGCTTGGCAAATTTTCCGAACCAAGAAAGGTAAGCTTTTCACACTATCAACCGAAACCTGAAACATGTGCAAAGTTAGCTTTATGGATTGGATATATATGTGTGTGCACGTAAGGAGTTGTCTTGTTTGCAACCATCTGGGCCCACGTTTTGTGGGTGGCTAATAAAATCACAAACTAAAATTCTGGCAAAATTTTGGCAACATCAAAATTGCCAATCTCTTAAAGAACTTTGTAAACATTTTTGTCAACCTAGCATAACTGGAACCTAGCATACCTGGAACCCGCATTCTCGTAGCTTTTATTTTTGCATTTGAAATTTTTGGCATTTTATTAAATTTTTAATAAATATCTTTCCTGAGGTCACTCACTAATTTTTGACTCGTGCTAATGCATTCGTATGGATTCTCATATACTTTTATTAAATATTTTTAAGGATATTTTATTTAGTTTGTTTTTTAATAAAATGTTATGTACTTTTGATTATGTATGTCAGTTGTTATATCGTTATATCATTTCAAGTTTATTACGTTTTGGATGCTTTTGCAAAAAAAAAAAGAATAAATAAATTTCAAGATTTGCTTTCTGTGCTATTTTACTTGAGATAATTTTTTTTTTTAAATTTCCGATATATAGATATTTATTTCCTTATATTCACGTTGTTATTGGTAACAACTTTTGGTTTTAGAACTTTTTCTATTTGTGCGCATTTTATATTTGCCAAAAAGTTTGTTTTTCTTCAGTTAAAGTTTTTTAAAGCACATATCAACATGTCAAAATGTCAATATCTTTCCATACACTTTTATTCACTAACATATATACTTCATTTTTATATAATCTTATGATATATGCATACTCTTATATATTTATTTATTTATTTATGTACTCAGATATTCAGAATAAAAATTGTTAGGATGAAATGAAAAATAGAATTTATTCAAAAATTAATTCACAATATTAGGTCAAGTGAAAAACAAATACTTAATTTTGTTTAGACTTAAAACCTTAATTTTGAATAATTCATGATTAAATCTTATAGCAGACATGAGAACATTTGTAGAGTTCTTGGAACTTCTATTATTTTTTCCTAATTTTCTCAAAGGACTTTCTCTCGAATTTCATCACTTTTTGTGAGACTTTTAAATTTTATTTGTTTTAATCAGATTTAAATCGATTTTTAAAGTACTATAATCTGTTAAACCTATGAGTATTTAATACTCATTATAACAATATTATTCTTTATATTGAAGCACTTTATTAACTCGAGGTATCTTCAAAACCCCTCTTTATGCCTTGACTGGATTAATGTTTATCACTTCATCATATTATAATACTCATTATTTATAAACATTACTCTATATTAATACAAACATTATATGTATATGGTAACATTTTATGTTTCTTAACAGTATGATTAACAGTACAGTTAACAGTGCTGATAACTGCACAGCTAAAAACAGTGCAGAAGCAGTCATGTGTTTATTGTTTAGGGTTTCTCACTTTTTATGGGATCTTTTAATATTTTATCCTCTCATTAGATTTAATTATATTTAATCCAGTTTTATATTAAAATTATTTAACTCATATTCTGTACTATTATAGTAGTACCATAGTAGTAATATAGTCATTGTTTTTTCTTAAATAAACATATCCTTCGGTTAGCTAGCTGATGGCATAAATATATTTCAAGATAACATGACATTTGACAAAACCTTACCATATACCATACTTTCTTGGTGCATACATTTCTGTTTTATTGCAATAAACTATGCACCTCGTTATGTTATTTCATCTTATTCATTTAATATACATTTTTGTATCTAAATATCTTACTGTAGGCGGCAGCTATATGTATCTCTTACATAAAGTGACTGCTTAAAATTCAAATTTAAATTGTTTATCCGAATGCAAAATGACGCTCATTTAACTACATTTTTATTTTGTATTCTTTTATTTGTGCTCATGGTTTGTTTTACAATTTCTGCCACAATTGCTTTGAATAATAAAAATGGAAAAACAAAAAAATAAATTATATTAATGCAAAAACAACAAGAACAGCAAATGGTTAACTTTAATGATTTTTATATGCAAAAACAGGTGCTTCCCATTTTATAAGCCAACATAAATCTTCCTGCACCCGAACAAAGTAAAGTCACTTTTCCGTAAAGCATTTTTATTACAGTTTTGCATTTCCTTAGCATAATTTTACGTTAGTTTTTGTTATATTTTTACTATTTTGTATTTTTTTTCTGTTTTCGTTTTTGTTTTTAAAAGAAAACAATTTTAGTTTGTTTTTTGTTTTAACATACACAACACATGCAAATGTAAATTTTGCTCTTGCCTTACAGGACGACACCTAAAGGCTCCATAAAATCTGTAAAATTCGAAATTGCAACTTAAATGGCAAACCTTTTCCTACCAATTTTAGTGCAATTTCGGAAAATTTACGAAGAATACATTTTTCATGTATTCTACATGAAAATCCATAAAGTTAACTTACATAAAACAAAATTAATTGTCCTTTAACTTTTGTTTATTTTTCGAATAAATTTCATTCCCCCTTTTATCGCACTGATTTCTACATAAAAATACAATTTTAAAAATAAGCCAGACGGCTTAGTTTCTTTTTAATGAATCAAGAAAATTTGAATATGTGCTAAGAAGTTTGTTCCTTTTACTTTATTTAATTGGCCAATGCAACTGTATGTTAATCTAACCCGTGTTCAGCATTATCCTCTATTAAAATATATATAACCGCAGCCAGAAACAGATTGTGACAGTTTATCCAGTACTTAGTCTTTCCTTCTCTTGAAAAGGTAACTGCCTCCGAGGTTTTCTTCAAATAGTACCACTTTAAATAGATTTTTAACTGGAGTATCATTCTCTATACCCACAACATATTCTTGGCAACTTAGATTCTTTTGCTGTCCCCTATTATGTAAATACGTTCAATTGATATGAATCTAGGACTTTTAAGTATTTTAGGTTACTAAGAAACTTATTGATTCGTGATACTAATAACTCGCCCTAACCTATGTAGCCATCTTTGATCTTTTCTATTTTTAAATACATTTAAATAATAAATACCGACAGCATAAAAGACTTCTTTATTACTATAAGAACCTATTGATTCCTATTTTAATTTTGTCTATTTTTTAAATAAATTTAAATAATGAAAATCTATGGCATTTCACAGCTAGGTAACTAAAAGAACCTATATTTTCTATATTCTATATTTTCATGGCACGTTCTCCTTCATGTAGCGACTGTTAATTTGATTTGTTTCTTATACCTATATATTTAATTAATTAAAATTGAAGGCAAATAAGGCTTCTAGGTTACTAAAAAAACATATTGATACGTAACTATTTTTGAGATCTTCTATCTAAAGTATTTAAATCTTCTACGAGTTCTTCAATATGCCTATAGATATTCTATAAAATAAAATTTATTAAAAAATCTTATTTACCTAATAAATGTGTTTATATATTTAAAAAAAATTTAAAAAATTTTTTTTGCCTCTCTTCGTATAACCATTACTTTATACTTTAATTAATATTACATGTATTGAATTAATAAAAAAAAACTTTGTGAAATATGTGAATCTGTTATAATTTTTTTAACTGAGATATTTCGTAAACTTTAGCTGAAACCCGTAAATTGTTTAAGCCTTACGTATAACATTTCTCGGTAGGCAGTGGCGTATCCAGAGCGGGTGAGATCGCCCCTTTGACAATATAATGTATAGTACATATAGATTATATATAAAACAATGCAAAAACATTGCCAAAAGAATATTATCGACTATAATCTCACTATGCACAATGTTGGCTACGCCACTGTCCATAGTTAACTTTTCACTTCTACTACATTTACAACAATATAATGGAATACAGCACTGCTATCGTTTACTACTTTTAATTGAACCGCTAAATGTTGCACTTAACTAATTTCCTATCCAATACTCGCAAATAAGTATGCAAATTTCACACAACACTTTTTCTGCTACTCTTTTAAAAAGCAATAAAATCGTTCCTTCTTCTTTTCCTTTTAATTTCTTCGAACGAATTTTCATAAAAAGTCAATAAAATTTTACAGCTGCAATAATAAAATGCAACAATTGTTTCTGTTTATTCAATGTTGTTTCTTTAATGTTATTTTTTCTTGCTATCTTATAGATTGTACTCCAACCGAACTGCGAGAAAATACAACCTTTACTGAGGCAGTCCCACAACGACTACAATTTGGCAGTGTTGGTTGGCATCATTTTCAGCTGCTTCGGCATTGTGCTCATAGTGATGGCGTTCTTTTTATGGAGGTAAGTGGCGTTCCTGTTCATATCAAATCACACAAACAAACAAGCAAATAAATTGCCAAACATATTGTTCTCTACTTTAACTCTACACTATAGGAATCACATATATATATATATCTATTTATTCTATTTCAAAAAGGAAAATCACTCGTTTATGCTAATAAAATAGACATTTTGCATTATTTTCACTTGCTCGTCGCTGCTTTAAACTCAAATAAAAGCTTAGCGAAGTAAAACTCATTTTACGACAATTTTAATAATAAACTTAAAAATAAAATTCGTTGTTGTATTTCTGTGTTTCTTCAAAGTATCTAAACAGTAAAAGTATCTATTATTAAAATTCCCTGTTGTTTCTTGTTTTATGCATTTTCCTTAACGAAAATGTGCACACTTTGCTTCTGTGTTCGAAGCACTTAAACTCTTTAAATATTTTCCAATAGAATTTTACTTGCTACTATTTTTAACTACTTAAGAAACCATAAAAACTTAAAACTATTCAAAAATAGAAATAGAGGAAAATTTTCTTATAAAACAAATGTCTGCAGCATTTAATTGCCTCGCAGTCCAAACATTGTGAAAGTGCCATAAACAAGTGCAGATTAAGTATGGAGAATCGAAGTATGGAGAAGTTCATATTAAGTGAGTTTATAGGTTCATGTATATTATAATAACAATCCAATGTTTTATTGACAGGTACATATATTATACTGCAAAAAAAAGCAGAGAAGGTGTTTATGACTTCATTTATAAGTTTGATACTGTCTTCAATATAACCTTGTGACTTTTTTATATAAGATAATTTTATAAAAGATATCTCTAACATAGCAAAAACATATTAGTAAAATGGATAAGACTATTTATATCTTAAACTATTAATAGTATATGTTTGAGACTATGAACAGTGTGTCTTTCTATTATATTTTATTAAAATCACATCACAACATACCACTAAAAATGACTGGCAATTCCGCCAAACATATTAAGACAATCTTTAAGTTTCAATTAATAGTTGTTAGCAACACTCTCAATATTATTTTAATTATTCACTGATCTTAACTAGGAAATCATTTTATTCCTAATGTCCATTGCTCCATGGAACTATAAATGCAATGCAAAATATATCCGTAAGCCTATCAATAGAATTTTTTTATTTTCATCTTAAACTAAATTCTTAAATATTTATCTAAGTTTTCAATGACGATTAATTCTTGTTAGTAATACAACGAACTAAAATCTTCTAGTATAAGCGTAGTATCGAAATTAATTTTTTCACAAATTCTTCGACTTCTCATTTTCTAATTAAATTAATGTGTTAAAGAAGATCTGCCTAATTGTCATTAACGATTTTTCAAGTTCAATGTAAATACTGAAGAGTTCATGGCAAACAGCATTGCCAGTTAAAAGTTAATATTTATAAAAATTTAAATTTTATACAATTATATTACCAACTATAAACATATTTCTTAAGCTATGTTCACACTTAAACTATCGAACTTAAGTGGATTTTTGTATGAATTTATTTATTTGCGATAGTGTAAACGTATGATCACTTACTCTACTTCTGATATTTGGTAGGTAATTTTTTAAGACCATTAAGAAAATACTTATATTATTATAACAATACTATTATAGTAGTAGTAGTATTCTTTTTATTAAATATAGGTTATATTTACATTTACAAAATTAACATTTTCAATAATTTATAATATATAAAACATAAATATTATAAATAACTATAAGAAAAATAATAAGAAAAATCTAACTTCATTTACATAGTATCTAATTTTATCCTTATACGATTATGGCATTTGCCGTCAATCGGGAATACTATTATAAATTCTTCTGATGAAGGCAAACACGAATATGCCGAAATACGTATAGAAATATACAAAATATTAACGCTCGAAATAAAAGTTAATGTTTCTAAAAAAAATTAAACCAACTTTAAAACACTATAAACATTTAAAACACAAATAAACATATAACAGTATCAACAAACAAATAAAGATTTTTAGAAAATTATATATTCATGCAAACATTCTGAAAATTATATAAATGCTTATTCAATACAAAAATCAATATAATTTTAAATATATTAAATAGGTTTGGTAACATAAATATATCTTGCATGAGTACTAGGCTATTCAAGGTTAGGTTACTGTGACAGTCAATCTAGTTTAGCCAACTAAATTAAAATTTACAGATCCATTATGATACCACTGCTTAACACAGATCTTAATTGATCCTTCTTTTTTTAATTGAAACATTTTCAGAGTGCTAATAAAACGTCAGATAAAAAAGGAAAACAATTAAAAGTATGACTACTTAAGAAACTCGCTGCTTTAAAAGAAAAATTCCCTGTAGTTTTTGCAGTACATATATGTTTACTGTAAGAATGGTGCTTCTTACCCGAGAGTAGGTCGCCAAATAGTCAGCGAAAGGGAAGCAGATTCTTTCTTCTTTGAAGGCTAAGCAATTATCTTTATTTTTTACCAAATTTTTCCCACATTAATACAGATGTTAAACAAATATCTTCGTTAGCACAGTACCTAGTGTGCTCTTAAATAACGCTATTTTTCAACAATAATTTCTTGAGGTACCAACCAAGGAAATGTCAATATCCCATCTAGCTAATTCATCATAGTTCCTTGTGTATACGTGTTTTTAACAGAATATGAACTTAATATAAATTTATAATATTTTTAAAAGTATATTATATTTGTTAATATAATATAAATACTAACAAAAACCAAAAATAAATAAAAATTTTTTTGTAAAAATATAAGTATTAACAACATGTATTCAAAATATTAAAAAACTAGTCTCTAAATTTTTTTAAAGTTACCAATTTTAGAATTTACATATATAGATATAGTGAATTTTAGTAGAAAGGGCCAATAATGCATTTAAAAAACTGTATTTTTACTATGCACTTTGTTCTTACTCAATGAAATTTTTTAATGAAGTGGTCTATAAGTATAGATCTAAGTGAATCAATATTAAGTAAAACTACTTTTTCCAGCGACTTTTTAAAAAAATTTTAGTAAATAGTATTCACTTTGACATACCCTAGCTTAAATGCTTGAAATACTTGTATCATTTAATTTATTCATTTTTTCAATTGTGTTTCACTCTCTCAATAGTACTAAATGTTACTGGAAACTCTTTCATTACCTCATAATATCAACAATCTACTTTAATTTTGTGTCGAGAAGTAACTAATTACCTATATAATAAATAGAGCATATTGAATTATGTTGAATAATTCTTAAAAAGTATTCTTTTTTATACTTTCAACTCGAAATATTCATCTCCTTTCAAGATTTATGTAAACAAATTTTATTTATATTATTTCGTTTTTATTTTTATTTTATGAAATTTCTATTAAAATGTTAATTAAAATTTGTATCAAAACTAAAATCAACAAAACGAATAATAAAATTTAGTTGCACTTGAAATATTTTTTTTTAATTTTTTAATATTAAATAAAAGTAACCACTTAACAAAACGAAATGAAATAAAACAAAAAAATACAATTTAAAAACTTGAAAGCAGAGCAAAAATAAAAATAGAAAAAATAAACAAAAAATTCAAATACATATATATGTATATACAATATATATTTTTTAAGATCTTTTAAAATTTATGTGAATTAATTTGGATTCATTATTTAACTTTGCTTAGTGGCCATTTAAATCTCCTAAAAAGTACCGACCAAGAAGAAAATAAAAATTTTCATAAAATAAACAACTTAATTTACTTAAAAAACAAACAAAATCAAATACAAAAGAAAATAATTAAAAAAAGGATATTCCTCCATTTTGCAAACATTTTTATATTTCATTTCCATTTGGCAGCACTTCCACTACGCAAGTTAAGTGGTTAAACAGAGTTGCCATAGCGCGGCAACGCGGCAAAGCGGCGAAGCGGCAGCGTAGTTCAGAAAGAACTTTGAAGGCAAATCATCATTTAATTGCATTAAAATGAAAATTAACTCTTTCAAAACACAATTCGGCTAAAAAGATTAAAAGTAACGTAAATGAAATAAAAATGAATTCGAAACAAAAACGAGAACGAAAACAAAAAAATGTAACATAAAACGAAAGATTAAAAAGCAAATTTCAATAAAAAACTTGTTGTAGCTGAAAAAAAAGAGTTTCATAAAAACTGTGAAGGATTGAAGTGGCATGGGTTTGTGAGCTCACTACAGGATGAGCACTTTGAAACGATTTGAATGGGTTTAGTTATAAAAAAATAAAGAAAATAAAGGTTTTTACAGATACAAAAATAAAAATGTAAATCTATGAAAAAAAGTAACAAATGCCAAAAAGATGCTAGCGCACACTTCAAATGCATACTCAAAGCTAAGAGAAAGTATTAAGGAATCTTAATTAACCAAATGGTAATAACAAAGGCGAACCTGATGAAGCTGGGAATCATTAGTAGGGAAAGAGCTTTTTGTGAAGGTGTTTTGGCTTCTACCAGAACAACAAAAAAAAACTCTCCTTTTTTTTTCGTTTAATAAATCCTTGAGCAATAGCATGCAAATATTTCATTCTTTCTTTCGGGCTTTTCTTTCCATCATTTCCATAGACGTAAAGTGCGTTTTTAGTTCAGTAGCTCCGATGTATCGATTTGAAAAACAGTTTTTCATTTGTCACATTACACCCTTTACGTTCAATTAATTTCTTTCTGCCTTTCAGCCAACAACTAATCGAGTTGTAAAGTTATCTTCAAATTTGATGTATGCTTCTTTGAAATTAAAAAATATCTATCTCAACACTCGTTTCTTTGGCATTTACATACAAGGAAGGATATGTATGTAATCGAAGTGATTACGAAGGAAATTTAAAAGGAAAATCAATTTTAAATTGATATCGTATTAGATTTCCCTACTATATAATTTCAGTTTGTAGTTCCATTGTAGTACAATTAAAGGTTTTAGTGAAGTTGCTTCTTAAGTATATATTATTTTTATTATTAGTATTATTGTCATACTCCAT